GTGCGCTATTCCGGCAATTCATACCAGACCCTCTAGGTCAGGGGTAGTCAAACACTGGTCCTCCAGCTTTCTCTTCGGGAGTCACGTCTGTGGCTGTGAGAATGTTGCAATGCCTCATGGGATTTGTAGTTCCACCCCAGCTGGAGGACCAGTGTTTGGCTACCCCTGCTCTAGGTCTGGTAGGAATTTTAAGGGAAACCCCAACGGCCAAAATGCACATATGATCAGTGATGCCGATCTGCCCTGGAACAGCTGAGAAAACGTTGGAATTCTTCACCTTTTGGTGGTCACGTATTCCACCGTAGAAAAACTGGACGGGGTTACGTTAAAATCTGTGACCACGTCACCGGTCACACATTCCAACGCCGCAAAACTGGGCGGGATTAGGTTAAAATGTGTGACCAGTCACAAACTTTGATAGAACACAGGCTATAGTGTGCCTCTCACTTTCCAAATCAGTCTCCAAAAGATCAGCCGCACAGAGAGCAGAGTAAAGCTGCCCATACCCCTTAGAAATATTGTTCAATTTTCGTATGCGATCGCGTTTTCATCCGATATTCGTAAGGTTGATGGGCAGTGTACAACCGCCAATACTGTACAATCGATCGAATTTTGACTAACCAGCAGGTTAGAAAACTTTGGTCGATTCATTAATTGTGAACTACATTGGTCTGTGCATGATGGGCTAGTTGTAAGAAAATTGAACGAGGGTGAGATGTCTGGACAACAAAAGTTGTACAATGGTTGTAAGGTGTATGGCCACCTTTAACCACTTGCTGACCGGGGTGTTTCACTCCCTTCCTGGCCAGGACATTTTTCAGTATTCAGCGCTGCGATACTTTGACTGACGTTTATTCCGTCATGCAACGCTGTACTGATACGAATTTCATACCATTTTTTGGGGACAGATAGAGCTTTCTTTTAGTGGTATTTAATCACCACTGGGGGGTTTATTTTTTAATGTGTAACAAAAAAAGTACCCTAAATTTTCAAAAAAAACATTTCCCTATAAAATGTTATAAAACATTTATTTTCACCCCAATTTTTTGGTATAATATAAAAGACGGGGTCACGTCAGGTACATAGACACTAAACATGTCAACCTTTACAATTGCGCGCGCCCGCGAAATCGCAGAAAACAACCGCAACCAAAATTGGCCATAGGCGACGCTTTAAACGTTTTTACCGCTCATCAGTTTAGGGTTATCAGTGATTAATGGCGCTAGAATTATTGCTCTCAGTCCCACGTTCGCGGCAATATGTAACATGTGCTGCATAATGGGCGCAATTGTTGTTTTCGTACATAGACGCACCCGACGCATGTTTGCGTGTGTATGTGGGGGCGGTGGGGGACTTTAAAACATTTTTTTGTGTTATTTTTTTAAATATTTGTGAATATTTTTTTTAGCTTCTTTATTTTTTTTTAATGCTGTAATTTTTCTTTTAGACTTAACTTTATTGCTATAACAAAGGGGACTAAGAAATCCCCTATGTAATAGCCAATTCACCAAACAGGTCCTCTATATGGAGACATCAGGTGTCTCCAAGACCTCTGATGTCACCTAGGGACCCCCAGAGAAGCTGATGAAGCAGAGATGCAGGAAGTGATGTATATTACATCACTTCCTGCATTTGGGGACAGGAAGAGTGCTCAAAGGGAGATCGAGTAATGATCTCCCTTTGATCTGCTGTTAAAGCGTCGCCGTGCCGGTCCCAGCCGCACCAGCCACATCGGATCACGGACCGGCAGCGGCGACGAGGAGACGGCCGCACACCCGCAAGCGATCGGGCGTCCTGATCGCTTGAGACGCCTGATCGCTTGTATGTAAACAGCCATTGCTGGCTGTTTACATGCTCACAGTTTTCCCTCTCGTGTGCACGCTGAGTGCCACACACGGGAGGGGGGAGGGGCAGGACGTCATAAGACGCCCTCCCGCTCCTAGCAGACTTCCATCCGGCCGTTCACAAACGGCCATGGACGGAAGGTGGTTAAGGTGGCCTCACACTTTACAACCATCGCAAGACTTTCGTCTTGCGATGGTTGTAAGCTAAGTAAAAGCTCGTACGATCTGCCCATCTTGGACAGGCAGATCGTACTTGCGATCATCGCAAGCCCGCCCCACTGAGGGGAGGGCTTCCGATGGCTGCAATGCTGAGCGGGCAGTGTGAGCTTGCGGCATTTGTCTTATGAGCAGGTCACAAACCCACCGAAAATCTTAAAATTTTCGGCAGGTTTTCAAACATGCTCATAAGACAAAAGGCGTGCGACCGTACAGTAGAAACGGTTACACGCCTTCCATACACCGTACGATAATCGGCAGGTGTATGGCCACCTTAAGGGAGGGTTATAATCACTCTGTCCACGCTCCCCCCCTACCCCGATCCCCGTGTCCCTGTCACCCCCGGACTCCTCCCACTCTGGGCGGGCCAAGTGTCACTTTACGGCCCATCTCACCAGAACCGGAAGTTTTTCAGCAGCGACCGGGAGAAGAAGGTAAACAGAGGTGAGAGGTGCTCATTGTAGACCGGGGGCACAGCGCTCCGTGCCATGGCTGGTCGGTGTGGGCTCAGCTATCGCTGCTGGGGGCCAGTACATGGCTGCTGTGTACACAGGAGATTATCTCCTACAGGCTGTGGTACTGCAAGACCCAGCAGGCACAGCCAGCATTATGTCTGGGGGGATTGTGCAGCTTCCTGTGCTGTCATGGTGTGTGCTATGTTCTCTGTGTACCTGACATCTGCCATTATTACTATTCCCAGAGCTTCCTCTGTATAGTGAGAGGTGAGTGTCAGACAGGCAGCCTGTAGATGATGTGGAACTACAAGGCCCAGCCAGCAGTATGCACATTGACATGTAGAGACTTGTTGCAGCTGCACAGCCTCATACCACCTGGATCTGGTATATACATTATACACAGGGACACCTGTATGTTGTATGTATTGCTTCCATGTAACATATGTGCACCTCAGATCTGCCATTACTACCAATGCCTTGGTGCCTGTTAAATGGCTCTGTACAGTGAAAGGTTCATGTTAGGCTACCGATGGCTGATGTAGAACTACAAGTCTCAGCATGTCATGTCACATCAACAGGCTAGATGTGCGTTGACATTTTTAACTCATTGCGTTGCTTTGATGTTTTGTTTTTTTTAAACGGCAGCCAACAGACTTGTTTTTTCCTAACACATGTCACAATGCACTGTGATAGGTTGTAGTGCATTGCGCTGCATTTAATTGCAGCATGCTCCATTTTCACCCAGCGCACATCAGCGCAGTGCCTTGGTGTGATCTGGACGCCTTTTGAGCCCTAAAAGACCTCCTGTGTTGATTCCTATATTGCATGCACTTCTGTATATAGGAATCTTATAAATGTCTTCTGTAAGGATGGCTGAGGGCAGTGGTTGTCAACTTACAAGGTATAGAGGACCTCAATTGTGGCCCCTGACATCAGCAAAGGGCCACACATAATGTTCAATAGATGTAATGCTCAAGAGAACTGTCAGAGACTGCAGGCATAGTGGAGGAAATGATGGTCACAGACTGTGGACATGGTACAGTTTGGTTGGAGACTGAAGACGTGCTGCAGACGACCATGCGAGTCTGGACACAGGTTACATGACGCTGTTCGAGATCAATTCTATCACCACTTTAAAAAAAAAATCAATTTTTGTTTTGTCTGTCCCCATTGAGCGCTGCAAGGAGAAGAGCATGAGCTGACTGATCAGGAGTTTGTGATCGCTCAGTTCTTGAACTATAGAGCCGCCATATCATACAGGTAGTGATACACTCCTGCTCATAGTATTGGGAAGGGTACATTTTACTCTTTCAATACTTCTCCTTTAAAAGCCATGATCCCTAGCAGAGGCGTCGTGACACCTGATGCGGGTACCGGGTGACACCCCGCAGTGATGTCATCACGCATGCATGTGATGACTTCACGTGCTCTACCGCTGTTACCTGCCAGTGGCCATCTTGGTGATGGGCGCCGGCAGAGAGAGGAGGGGACGTCACCCGGCGGGATAAGGTATGCCGCCGGGTCCCCTCCTCTCTCTCTCGAGCAACTGTATGGCTCTCAGTCCTTGACTGCGTGCCCGACTTTTCAGAGAAGGGTGACACCAAAATGACTTTTAGTCATTTTGGTGTCACCCTTCCAATGGTGTCACCCAGGTGCGGGCCGCACCCCCCTCGTGACACCACTGATCCCTAGCAGTCTCACGTAACATATGCCTAGTCTATGACAATCTACCGAAGCATGTCCCCAGTCTTCAGCAACTCCTGAACCATGTTTGTACTCTGTGCCCATCTCCTGGCACATGTTTGCAGTCCCTGACTGTCTCCTGAAGCATGACCCAGTTTCCAACAACTTCTATAACATGTTTGCTGTTTCTGACCATCTCTTGTTACATATCTGCAGTCCCTGGCAGTTCTCTATAGCATTACATTCACTGAATATTATTTGTGGCTCTTTGGGCACCTGAGGCCCCCTTTATTTAGTAAGTTGACCCCCACTTGCTTAGGTTCTTAGTATAGGTACTCATATCGTGAATCTTATGAACCATAGCAATGTATATTAAGAAGTGATATGTATGGGGGAGAGAAGTAGCCTGTGATGCCTCGTCTCTTGGGGAGCTACAAGTGTCAGCGTGCAAAGCCATCTGCAAGCAGATTGAGAATTCCAGCACTTTCTTCATACAGTATTTAGTTTGCACCTTTTTACAGAGAATGTCAAAGGTGATCATTCTAGGGGGTATATTATACCTATACTGGTGCATTATGCAAGGGAAGCTTAGGCTTTGCCCTAATTTGTCACATCCTAGAGATTAGTTGGTAAGAGGAGAGTTTACATAAAGCAGGCTGGAAGGACAAACAACGGCTGGTTCTGCAACAGCTGTGAACAACCAATCATTTCCTTATCACTTAACCTGTGCTACACTTACCGATGGAGTGTTTCTTCTTATAGTATCCTCATCATGATAGATTAGAGCGGGGCTGGGCAAATCCCAGGAGCCAGGGCGACAGCACTCCTTACAGGTTACAGCTGACCTCTCATTTTTGTGGTTTGTCCATTGTTGTCAATGGAGGTGGTCCCTAAAAAAAACCCCCAAAAACATAGTGGTTAGTTGTTGGTGGCCCCAGGATTTTATGAAGGGGTTCATACTCTAACAGTGTGGGAGACGCTGCATGTACAGTGAGCTTCAGAAAATATAGGAGTCTTCCTCAAACTCTGCCACTTCTTAATATTAAAAAGCATTCCTATATCAGACATCGGTCGTGTTCCTCTCCACAGCTTCCCAAATAACTTCCTTGAGGGCTTGTTCACACCATGTCCGGATCATGCCCAGACCAGAACAAGTTGTTCCCGGACCAAAAAAGCATCCCAATGTATCCCTATGGTATTTCTGGGCTCTGTTCACATCAGCGCAGCCGTTCCGCACCAGGCAAAAAAAAAAATACTGTTTGTTTCATTTTCTCTGGTCTGGAATGCACTGAAACGCATGCAAACGCACAGGACCTCACCTGAAAGCCCATTATAAAATAAAGAAAAACTGCTCTGGAACGCGGCAAGATCGCTGTAGAAACACGGCAAAACGCAATGCACCGTGTTCCAGATCTGGTCCAGAAAATGGTGTGAACCTGGCCTTAATGTCTGTCAACTACAACTGAGAGACTGACCAACCTGCTCCCTCCGAGAGACCCGCTGCTCCTTGCTACTTGATGGAGACAGGAAGCACACAACCCATTCCAACCTCACCTCCTCAGTGTTTTCCCTGTCAGGATAAGCTGTAAGAAGATTATTCATGATGGGCCATGTTTTTTTTTTTTGCCAGGCTCCTTGTGGAGTTGCTGGGTTTCACCTTTAAAGATTTTAAGGCTTACCATTCATCTCTGATACACTATATTGCCAAAAGTATTGGGACACCTCTCCAAATCATTGGATTCAGGTGCTCCGTGAAATTTCCTTGCTACTAAATATTCCACGGTCACCTGTTAGTGGTATTATAACAAAGTAGAAGCAACTGGCAACAGCAGCCAATCAGTCACAAAGTGGTAGGCCACGTAAAAGGACAGAGCGGGGTCAGCGCATGCTGAAGCGAACAGAGCGCAGAAGTCGCCAACTGTCTGCAAAGTCAATAGCTAAAGATCTCCAAACTTCGTGTGGCCTTCAGATTGGCACAACAACAGTGCGTAGAGAGCTTCATGGAATGGGTTTCGTGGCCGAGCAGCTGCACCCAAGCCTTACATCACCAAGTGCAATGCAAAGCGTGGGATGCAGTGGTGTAAAGCACGCCGCCACTGGACTCTAGAGAAGTGGAGACGTGTTCTCTGGAGTGACCAATCGCGCTTCTTTGTCTGGCAATCTGATGGATGTGTCTGGGTTTGGCGGTTGCCAGGAGAACGGTACTTGCCTGACTGCATTGTGCCAAGTGTAAAGTTTGGTGGAGGGGGGATTATGGTGTGGGGTTGTTTTTCAGGGGTTGGGCTCGGCGCTTTAGTTCCAGTGAAGGGAACTCTTAAGGCACCAGCATACCAAGACATTTTGGACAATTTCATGCTCCCAACTTTGTGGAAACAGTTTGGGGATGGCCCCTTCCTGTTCCAACATGACTGCGCACTTGTGTACAAAGCAAGGTCCATAAAGACATGGATGAGTGAGTTTGGGGGTGGAGGAACTTGACTGGCCTGCACAGAGTCCTGACCTCAACCCGATAGAACACCTTGGGGATGAATTAGCGTGGAGACAGCAAACCAGGCCTTCTCATCCAACATCAGTACCTGACCTCACAAATGGTCAAACATTCCCATAGACACACTCCTAAACCTTGTGGACGCCTTCCCAGAAGAGTTGAAGTTGTTATAGCTGCAAAGGGCGGAGCCAACCCAATACTGAACCCTACGGACTAAGACTGAGATGCCATTGAAGTTCATGTGCGTTTAAAGGCAGGCGTCCCAATACTTTTGGCAATATAGTGTACTTTTGTATTCAGCTAACGGTATTCCCTTAAATCTGGACCGGATCCATGACTTGCTAACGCTTGATGGGCTTGCTAGCCTTGACCCCTAGACAGACTTCTAAACTCCCCCCTCCCCCCTGATATTTTTAATACCTCCAGGTTAAGAGCTTTGTTATGGCCCCCACTTGTAATTCTCCTCTTCAACAGCCTCCAACTCCTTTAGAGCATTCCGGCCTTCATAGACCCACTGGCGGGGGACATTTTCCATGATCTATTCCTCACTTCTTGAGGGTCATTGCCCTTCCCCTCTTCCAAACTTTGCCCACTGGGAATGGGATCTCCAGTCTGTAAGGGAGTCCAAAGACCAGACCCAGATTTGGGATACAGCCATTGAAGCTAAATATAAATTGTTAACTAACCTGGCAACCCTTTCCCTTAGGGAAGGTTGATTCTATATTGCACAATGTCTGCTTGGGTATTATATGTATGTAGTGCAGTGTTTGTACATAAAGGTACTGAGATGTCACGAGCCAAGAACTCTATGTGCTTCA